CAATTCTAGCTTCCTAGTCTAAGTTTTAGAGGAAAAGTAAAAACACAAGGGATACTTCTAAGAAACAGATAACTAGATTGGTCATCTAAAAAGAAGAAAAGACTTAATCTTCCTAAAGATCTCTAGATCAATTCCTTTGTCAAGAGTCTGCAGCAACAGCAGCTATAGCTTCTGGCAAGGGGAGGATTTTCACAGGCGAAATGTGGGATTTGAGCGGAATTTGGGAAGGACTAAGTAACTTCTTCTCCTTTGGAACAGATTCCGTGATTCCAAGAACTTTACGCACTTCATTTGCTAGTTCTATGATGTAGTCGTCTTCGTGACTAATGTCATGTAAAGCCTTCTCCATTTTGAATATGTATTCCTGGTTATTTCCGCAGGGACCAGAGGCAGTAGCAATTTGCCTGAAAATGGATGATGAAAAATTAAGATATATTGAAAATGATGTATCTCAGAGCAAAGATAAGATAACAGAACCATGATCCTCACCTAGCCATCTCTTCCAGTGGAGCAGGACCAAGATAATACTTATTGTTTACTTTGTCAGGAGTGGACGTAAACCTGAAAATAGATTTTTGAATCAATTCAACGATCATTGAACAAAATATTTACCGTTTTGATGTTCTTTGATTAGCGTGTTACTTGGGCTGTGGGTCTTTTGGAAACAACCCCTCTACCTCCACAAGGTAGGGGTAAGGTTTGCTTACACTCTACCCTTACCAGACCCCACTGTTAGCAAGAAATGCAAATAGAATAGCAACCATAGAACTTACACTATCACTTCAGTTAAGGCAGGATGTAAGGAGTCTTCTTCCTGAAATAGAAAGAAGGAAACGTTTTCCAAGTTAGCCAAGTGAGCAATTCTATGTTAAGTACACAATCTATGTCATTCCCCTTTTGTAGCAGAGCTTTACTAAACTTCAAAGGTTATCGACTTACAGTGAAGAAGTCCACCAAGGTCTTGCTATCATACTCGCACTCTCTTCTTTCTAAATACTGTACAGCAAAAAAAAAACTTTCAGGATCAATTCCAAAGTCCAAACAATGTTTCAAACTCCGATGAGTGAATGTGATATTGATCAAAGGATATGTAACAAAACTGTAATGCTAAGTCCCCAGAGACAACATAGTCTAATCACAAACATTTACTGTGAAAACATTACAGAGGAGTCAAAGAAGAACCAATGTACCTCCATTGCCTCCTTCTCTTTTTCAGGTCCTCCTCTCACACAATAAGCAGCACCCCACTAAAAGAAAATGCACAGATAAGTTAAATTATGTCGTGGAAACAGCTATGAATCAATAAAAATATTTACTTTTAGAGAGTGCACAAATTCAGGTCAACTAAAAGATAACTATAGTCGCTTGCAAATAACTGCTACAACTAAGTTCCTAAAACAAGTTAAATTAAACAGTGCATATAAGTTAATTCTAGTTCTTATTATTATGAAAATCAGCTTCAACATGGAGAAAGAGTTACACTAGGAGATAATGGTCAAAAACACACTTGAAATATCACATTTTTGCGAGTTTCTTACTTTAACTATCATGTATTTGTGTTTCCTTCCTAAACTATCATCAACTCTTTATCAAAACACAACTCGAAATTAATGAGTCAACTACCATGCTGACGAAATTTTATAGGCAATTTAAGTTGTCATGCTCCTTTTGGAGATCGCATTCAAACACTTGGTCTAGTCAACTTCGAGGTGTGTTTTAATAAATAGTTAGAGATAGTTCAGGTAGGAAACGCAAACACCATGAAACTCGCAAAAAGTGTCAATATTGAAGAAGGTAATAGATGTTAATGTCCACTTACACAAATGGATCCTTTGCTTTCATCCAAAGTGCAGGTTCTTGCAGGTTTTTCAGGTGTACCTCTATGATCGATGCAAGCTGATGATTGGTGTATTCAACATTCAACAACAATCATAAAAAAGTTAGTATATTATACTTAAGACAAACAAAACTCAACAATTTTGAAGCATCAATAAGAACATACCGAGATCAAACACACGCCTATAATCCTTAATGTATCCAATCAATTTCTCATCATACTCAAATCCAGGGTTCCATACCAATGACCCATAGCCAAAAATCCAAAACACCATGTTTCTGAATCTTCCTCTAGTTAATATCTGCACTATTAACCATAAAATCGATTAAAAATATACTTGTTCTCCAATCAGGCAAAAGAAACATACATGAATTTCTGAAAATGGTGAAGAATTAGAGATTGGACACGAGTTATGATAGAAGGTTAGTAGGTATGTTATCAAAGACGCGCTTAAGCCTTGAAGTGAGGCTCAAAACGTGTTGAGCGCTTCGCCTAGCTTTATGTGCGCTTTAGTGTCGTCATCAAGGTTCTAAGGCAAACATTTCCTTACCAATGAGCCTCTTATGAAGAATTTGAAGCTAAATAATTGATATTTCACTTTATCATAATTTTTTTCAATTTCTTTGGTCATATATTTGTCATTCATGTTTATAATTATTAGTCTTGGACTAAACATATATACTTTATTTTTTTCTCCCTTTGCGCCTTTTTTCGTTAAAGCCCACGCTTTATTTGCGCTTTGCGATTAAAGCCCCCACAGACCTAAGAGCTTTTTTGTGCTTTTCGCCTTTGATAACACTGGACTCACTCGTGATTGTCTAGCTTTTCATCGCATAGATGTAGTAGTAGTATTACTCTTGTATTTCTTGTTCTTCAATTTCTGTTAGTAATTATTGTTTCTTCTACTTCGATTATCTTACTATTTAGTTGTCTAAATGTTCATTTTCATTCTTTCCCTATTATTTGTCATGGCCGTTTCTTTTCCGTACTGCTTTGATATGATTCTCCTTGAGTCGAGGACCTCTCAGAGATAGTCTCTCTACCTCCCAAGGTAAGGGTAAGGTATGCATCCACTCTATCCTCCCCAGACCTCTACTTGTGAGATTACACCACGTACGTTATTGTGGTTATTGTTGGTTAAAAATTAGAAACTAGAACAAAATACAACATAAAAAGCTACGGTTAGAGGTATTAATTTGTCCTCGGATTATTTATCCCACCATTTGTGCTAAAATGACGAGATTAGTATATCTCGATCCATGCTATAACTTTATCTATCCCATCCTAAGGTGTGCTATCACAATCAATTATCATATCCCACGTTATCTCATCCAACTTGAAATTATTTTATCCCGTCTCCTAAGTGGAAATAAATTAGTCCACAAATTATATAATTCTAGAATAATTTAGTCTGCGTACTAAACGAACCCTTTAAGTCATCTTTTTCTTGTTGTCACATATTGCAAGGCACAACAGAAAAAAAGGTCAAATCAGTTTAGTTCTGGCAATAAGAGGGTTAACAACAACAGAACAGTACAAGTGTTGCAGCTCAATGTACAACATAATGAAGCATGGGATCCATAAAATTGCTAAAAAATGATGAACATCCAGAAAAGAAAAAACTCTAAAAATACCAAAAAATGTGAAAAAAAATAAAAATCGATAAAATACTTACCAATACAAAATTGTTAGGTTCACAAATCAATGAAAATGCAATGCCTTTTACAGAAATTGCCCCTTTTGCTCCACAAATTCTTCAGAGAAAAATGAAATTTGATGAGGGTTTTGAAATAGGCAAATTGAATATGGAATTAAGGAGAGAGAAAGAGAGAGCAATGTGGGTAATTTTTCTCTCTCTGTATCTCTCTCTTTGTGTGTGTGGCTTATGAAGAAGAGAATAAAACTATTTATAGACTCCAATATATTTATATCAAGTGGTCGTGTGCGAGTTTTCTAACTGAACTATCCCTATTTATTTATCGAAACATACGTCAACTATTAATTTATCGTCCTCTAGATAGAAAAAATGGAGTAATAAATGGTTGAGATATGCTTTGATAAATAGTTATTGATAGTTCTGAAAACTCGTACGCCTGATAATTCAGGTATGAAATTCGAAAAATTGAAATACTTTAGATATGTTTTTTTATCATTAATGATTTAAATTACGATCTATTTTGATTGAACATTTGAACATATTTGAGCTCTGATTAATTCAAATTTGTGTTGCATAAGTTTTTTTTCATAAATATAACTCGAGACTTCTGATTGATTAATGTAATTAGAAGGATAGTTCTATTAATCCCATCCCATCACATCAACCCTTGTGGTATGAGAATATATTTTCAATGTGTTTTCCAAAATATAAAATAAGAGAAAATCCCAATTGACTTTTGAAATATTCTTCTTGATTTTTTTTTATAAAATGGAATAAATTAAAGAGAACATGAATCATCATAGTGCTATTGCATTATTGGAAGAAGAAAAATGCACTCCTACAAGATATTTTGCTTTCTTCTCCTTAAGAAATGCAACTAAAAGGGAATAATTTGTATACTTTATACATGTAAAAAGACATCACAAAAATATAATATTCTATCATTTGTAATAATGCGATACTTGAATCGAGAATTTTTCTGAAATAGTCTTTTTACCTCAATAATAAGAGTAAAGTCTGTGTATACGTTACTCTTTTCAAATTTCACTTGTAAAATTACACTGAATATAATTCATTTTGTTCAAAATTATTACATCAAAATCCAATTTTCACCTAACTACACTTAATCCAAGGTCAAGCCAAAGAAACCAATTTCACCTAATTAATTTCATCAAAATATCAAAGTCATGCCTAGCATGTGGAAATAATATTTTATTTTTTCCTATGTACTTCTCATTATATTTTATTTTAAATTTACTTTTTCAATTTTCCACTCTTTGACATTTGAGCTAGTCAACAAACTTGTACATATGTTGATGGCATTTTGCATGATATGAAAGAACATTACAAATATACCTTACATTTTTGAGTCCACAAACGTTAATTTCAATTTCATAAAATTGTTTTTTTTTAAAAGGAAAAAATAATAATTGTTTTTTTTTAAAAAAAGTTCATTGAACCTAGACAATTTCTTGAATTAACTCGTTTTCCTAGTTTTGGGACCATAAATTAATGTGGGTGATATGGGGGAGTTAAATTTTATGGAAAAAAAATCTTGAACTCAAAACAAGTTGCCCAATTGGTTTTAAATATATTAACCACAAATAAATGCATGATACATAAACGTGTTATTTAATTTAGCTTCAGCTATCATTAATATCCTTTAATTTTGGGTGTATACAAATAGACACATGTGTCATACATGATATAATACACGTAGACACAAATTGCCGTATAGGACGCATGTATCGATAAGTTTAATTTTATATAAGTTAAAGTGTTTATTTGTGTACACTCAAAGTTGAAGGACATAGATGATAGTTAAAGTCAAGTTAAAGTGCATGTTGATGTATTATGTCATAAATAAATAATTTAATTTAGACTAATGGTAAAAGTATAGACTCTTGAAGGATAAATACAATCACATATATATTTAGTATATAGTGGTATACTTTACTTCTAGCCTTTTGAGGGTATATAAAAGATGTTTCTAATAAACACTTAGCTTAAGGAAATTATTTTTCTAAACGAGTTTGAAACAAATACAAGAATCAAAAACGATGATGAAAACATTAGTGAAATAAAAGAATTGACAGTAAAAACAGTAAGAATAATCAAATCGAAAGAGATAATAATAGGTACCAAACTTGAAAAATAAAATATAATAGTACATTAAGAATAAATATAGGTCCTTCGTATTAGAACCCAACGTTATGATTAGAAGGAGAGAAAATACTCGACTACCGATAAAATATATTTTAAAAAAAGGGACACAAGGTGCAAAAATTGATGGCATTGCACATGATTTTTTTTTGTTGGGCTAGCTATCAATAGACATAACATGTGCTGTCCAAACTTCAAAAAATCCACAATTCTATTTGGCAAAAAGGTGCAACAAATGGTGTTATAGTCAAACTTCTCTGTAATATCGTAGTTTATTTGGATATTTTTAAGAGTTATAAAAACATATTGTAACAAAAGATATATAGTATAGTATAATATGAAAGATCGATTTCATAAAAAAATATAATTATTATAGAAAAGTCTGATTATATTTGACTTTAATTAGTAGATCAATCAAATTAATCTTTAGATTCTTTTTTTAATTATTTTTCTCTTTTAGTTATATGTTAAAATAAAAAATATATATCTTTCATTTATTAGTTTAATGTAAACAGTAACGTCCAATAAAGTGAGCTCTTATTATGTTTGAAGTTGTATAATATTCTAAAAATAATCATCTCATTTCACCATCGACTTTGTAGTTTAGTTTGATTTTCTTTCTCATCAAAAGATAAATGGGTTTTGTTTCCCAAAGTTGAATGGAAATTATTCATAAAATGATCCAAAACAAAGTTGATAATTGCAATTCAAGATTTAATATGATGACTTAAATAACTAATATAGATTGGACAAAGTTCAAAATAATATATCAATTACAACATTCATATTGATAATATATAGTTTATCAAGATCATAAAACATAGGAACCATACTAATAAAACACAAGAAGACTAATTAAAACAGGCCCAAATTAAAATCCAGAAAAATATTTATTCTGGACTCACTATTTCCAAATGAGTGTCCATCACTATTCACTAATCAGCAATCATTACTTATTATTATTGATAATCATCATCAACCATCATTAGATATTCTTAAAACATCAGCAGTGGCGGAGCCAGAAATTAATGAAGGGTGTCCAAAAAAAGTGAAATAAAATAAAATTGTTGCTAGTGAAATTTGAACGCGTGAACACCCTAAGCACAAGCTCTTTCAAGGTGTCTAAAATCACTGGTCTATAACACATTGTTCTGTCAAGAATGTTCAAAATATATTATTTAATTACTTTGTGTATTATTTTACTTATATATACAGTATTATTTTCTGACGGTCCGTGTCTTATTGGACACCCTAACTATAACATAGCTAAGCCCCTGCTCATCACCATCACCATAACCATAACCATAAATTACCACTATATATCATCCACCACCAACTGTCATCATCAACCATCACTATTAACCACTATTGGCACCTACCACACCACTAGCTACTATGTACACACAACCACCGCCATCAGCCAAACACCACTACCTATCATTACCACCAATCGATACCTACAACTCCAATCGTTAGTCATCACCATCACCAATAACCATATAATATTTAATAATATTTCGTTATATAGTATTAGCTTAATTTAGTACTCCCTCCGTTTCATAAAGAATGACCTGGTTTGACTTGGCACGGAGTTTAAGTAAATAAAAAAGACTTTTGAATCTTGTGGTCATAAATTAAAGTTATGTCAAATGTACAAAATTGCCCTTAATCTTGTGGTCTTAAACATGCCACGTGGAAAGCAAAAAGTAAAATGTTACCAAAAAAGGAAAGAGGTCATTCTTTTTGAAACTGACTAAAAAGGAAAGAAGGTCATTCTTTATGAAACGGAGGGAGTA